AAATTCTACCTTTATACCACTTATGCCACAATGATTCCATTTTCCATATTTACTTTTGAATATAAAATATAATTTGCGTTATAGTTCAACAAAAAATATTAATATTGCGTAAAATCTAATATCTTCCAATGCAAAATGTATAGGAAAGAAATAAATAAAATATCATAAAGTTAAGAGGGCATAACAAACCAAACCAAAATACTTAAGCCTAACGATAAAATTTTAAATTTAAAAAATGTTCGAATTAAATTCTCAAATTTTGAAATAGGAAAAAAAAATAAATCATGCTGAAATAATATAAGTAAAAGTAAACGCATTTTTAAAATTAGTTACGTAACTAAAACATAAGAAGAAAGTTATGACGCATTCGTTTTAAAAGTTAACACTGCAAAAATATTTTTATATACAAAAATTACCACATTAAAATCAAATAATCAAAAATACACAAAAAAATGCCGGCTATAATTATTTTAATTATAATATCAAAAATATTTAAAATAAACGCACTCAATTTTTTTTTTTAAATTTTAACAAAGCAAGAAAATATAACACAATACACCATTTTTATAAACTATTAAAATAAATTGAACTAATTATAACAGAAAACGTGTAAATAATCCTAGTAGATCGCTTAATAAACGCTAATTTTTCATTCCTTCATACATATAATTATTAATAGTGTACATTACACTGAAATTACAGCACAATATCAAAATTAAAAAAGAAAAAAAAATTTTTTTTTGTTTGTACAACGAGTTTTTCTTAAGTAGATTCATTTCACCAAAAAAAAACAAAAACCAAATGTTTGTAAATTAATTGGAGCATAAAAATAAGACGAGAATAAGAAAAAACGAACAAAAATAAAACGAAAAATATACATTAGGTTCCTTAATCGATATTACACCACATTTAAATTACATCATACCATCGTACGTGTGTATATATGCAAATAAGTGTGTAATTTGAAAAAAAAAAATTTTAATGCCACTAAACTAATCTGGCCTCGCCTGTCTTCACATTTTAATTTTTACCATTTTTTTGCCCCGTTATCTCTAAGAGCCTTTTATTTTTTTCAACATTAAATTTATATAAAAAATATTTTACCTGTATATCCTAAAAAACACAATCTAAAAAGGTAAAAGAAAAATGTTACATACATTAAATGTGCATAAGTAAATACAAAACGCACGTAAAATGTGTGTGCGCAGAAGGAAACTACATTATGTAAAAGAATTGAAAATGGATTTCAAGTTTAAAATTGAAAGTTATATACACTACATAGAGTCCGGTTTTTCAATTTCATAATATAATTAAGTCCAATGACAGACAGAGTTCATCCGTTTTCAATCACCTTGTTTCAAGTTAAAGAATTCAAGGTGATTTATAATTGAAACGCACACAATATCTGATATTTTTGTCTCTATATCTCTCTCTTTTTTTCTGCTATACATTTCTCGAATGTCACATCTGTTATAATATGCTATACTTATGTATAACAGATAAAATTTAATATCGTATATAATTATTAAATTTATTATAATTATATTTTAATCTTAAAAAAAAATCATGAATTTTTCCAAACTCTTATACACTATGTTAAAATGTGGATAAAGGAAAAATTTTAAGATAAATAAAAGGAAAAAAAAATAAAAAGAGTTTTCAACTCAACTGGTTTAAAAAATAAATTCAAAATCAAAATGAGCAAAAGACATTTTAAATGTTTAATGAATTAAATAAAATCTTTACAGATGCAACTTTAAATCTATCATACTTCACTATTGCTATTAAAAAGAGTTTTTGAGGAATAGGACTTGTTTGTTTGCTTGTTTGTTTATTTGTTTTTTTTCTTTGTTTTTTAATTTCTGTATTTGATGTGCATAATTTATCACGATTTATAGCAATTCGTTATTAAGACAGTATATTTATAAATAAAAGTGTATATAATAACAGTAGCTATTGTCTTGATAATAAATGTTATTTTGATTTAATTGGAGTTGAAAATCTTTTTTTTGCTTTTTGTGGTTTTACGGTTTGAAAATAAACTGAATAACCTCTAAATAAATGAAATAAGAAAAGAAACAAGTTATTATTTACACTTAGTAAATGTACAATTAATTTCGGACCAAAACAAAGGTTTATAAAGTATTACATTTCTCTTGATTTTATTACATTTCGCTTTTCTTAACAGTTTTCTTTTAATTAAATTATTATTACGAATAATACACGAAAATTACATTATGGAATTAATAATAATTGCATATTATTAGGATAAGAATTAGAATTAAACGAATCGTTCACAAAATTAATTACATACAAGAAAATACGACAAGAAAAATAATCACATTTTTCTTAACTTATCAAAATATAAAGAAAAATTATTATATTACGAGACATATACAGTTGCTTTTTAACTTTTACAGAGATTTGAGAAAAAATACAGTTTCGATATAGAAAGTATATATGAAATGAAAATTCAAGAGGTCATCCACTTGTGGGGAAGTGGAATAAACTAACTAACTTAAAATCTTAGATGTCCACAACTTAACGTCTAAAAGAAAAATAATGGCTTTTATATAACGTCTAATTTTTACGGCTATTTCGTTTCGAAGTGGCCTATATATTACTATAGTCCATACTGTTTCGCATTGGAAAACGCTAAACAAATGTATTTTGTTTTGGAAATTTAAAAAATATTTTTGCATTTGATTTAATTAGAAATTGTCCAAAACCAGGAATATTTTTAGCTCTGAGAGGGCATAACTTTTGCAACGGTCAGATTGATGGGTGCTTGATAAAAATTCTTTTCAGAAGAATAAGTTTCTCGTACAGATACATTTGCATTTAATTTTAGATTCATTAAACAGACGCCTCAACGAATAAAGAAGTAAGAAACGGATAGACAGAGTAAAGGTAATAAGCACATTTTTTTTTTTAAATTTTATTGAAAATGTAGTAAAAACAGTTCTGTGAGTCATTTTGCCTCAAAATATGTCCATCTGTTATTATGATTTGATATTGAAAGTGTAAAATTTTTATGCTTTTATTTACACACATACATATATATCAATTTTCCTTCCGGAATCACTGAAAACATCATTATTAGTGCAATTATAAGTAAATGAAAATCAGAAAAATTGTTGCATCTTATAAAGTAATTTATGCTTTACCTTATCAATTGAACAGGAAAACTCAATCTAAAATTCTAACATGACGTAAATGGTTTAAATAAAAAGATGAGTAAATTCAATGAACCAATTTACATGAAAACGCTCAAAATAAAATTTTAACCGCAATGAGGAAGCTTTTGTTTTAATAAAACGGGAAGTTCAATTAATTATTTGGTTATCCATAATAAAAAAATTTTATAAAATGGGACAGGAAAATTATCAAAAAAAAACTAATTAGTGACAAATAAAAATTAGTTTTCACTTTTAATATTTTCATTCCTCATTTACTCACTTTTAAGAATTATTTGTTAAACAATTTGAATTCTATTGAATAAATTTTTTAATAAACGCTATTACTGCTTTTCATTCTATATACACAATGAGAAAAATACAACAATAGTCAAAGATGTTATGCAATAAAAATTAAATTAATATTATGCTAACAAAAATATTTTGTCATAATATGCCAACAATGCCATTGTTCAATTGTTACAACACTAGATTACTTAATCTTAAAATAAAAAAAGAAGTGTATACAGAGGGATCTGAAAGAGTGTATATAGAGAATCGCCTAAAAATAAACATGCCATTGACCGTAACCTTTTGCTCTTTTTTTGAAAAAAAGTTGTTGAATGAAAAATGATTTAAAGCATGATGCTATAATTGGCTGGTATTTTGCAAAAAAAAACAGTAAAAAAATAATTTTTTAACGTTTTATAAAATTATAACTTATTATTGTTGTTACTGTCAGTATTACATACAGTAAATAAAGTATTGGAATGGTACTAAATTTTCGAGTAAATAAGTCGAATATTCAATAAGAAGGCATGCTAGATAGAAAAACAATTATTTTCCAAAAAATCTGTGTATCATCATTGTATCTCGATTTTGGTACTGCAATTTCATTTAATTATTCAATTTTAAAAGAAATTGTTGTCTGAATTTATTTTGAAGATGTGATAAAGAGATCAATTAACTGCAAATTGAGAAATCAGGTTTTAACAACTTGACTTTTATTATATTGACCATATTTAAATTTTCGAACATAATCTAAAGAAATAATCAACATAATTTCTTGCAATTTGATAATTTAAATCTGTTTACCAACGAAACTAGCCCATCTTTTCAAAAAAAACACTTTACAGAAAGTCTCATGAACTAAATTAACGTTTTCGGAAACATTTTAAATTGAAGTTTAATATAGTTTACTGGAAATTTGAAATAAATGTCTAAAGGGCTTTTTTATAATCTTCTGCAACACATTCGCTTAATTGTAATCAAATTTTTGAATTTATATTATTCACAAAATACATAATGCGATCGATCATGTGCTGATCTCATCAGATTTATGTTATTATGGCATTATTATCCATTTTTTACAAGAAAATGAGTTCGCATTTTTAATACCTATATGCTTTATATAAAAATTTTCCAGTTTTTGAAACAAACGTTTTCCATAGTACAAAAATATACTAAAGGTAATATTGAATAACATATTTGTAAGACAGTATCTATTCAAAATATTTATAAAATTTAAAATAATTAAATTCACCATATTTTATTCTTTATGCATAATATATAATAGCTAGTGGATAATAATAATTAATAAAATAAAAATTCAAATAAAATTTTGCGTTATATTGGGCGTAATAACAAAAATAAATCAGGAACTAGTTAAAACTCAACTAAACTCAAAAAAAAAAAATAAAAAATTAACTAAATTTCTTTATTACGTTATTGTATTATACGGTTAATAAATTATTTATTAGAAAAAAATAATGTTAAAAAATAAGAAACAAAAAAATTTTACACTTTTTCTTTTTATATTTTTAGAGCTCTAGCACAACAAGAAAACAAAAACCAAAATAAAAATTCAAATGTTCCTTCAAGCGAAAAATCACAAACTGGTTGAATAATTTAATCAATGGCCATATTATTTATCAATGTAATCAATTTTATTAGGCTACTACCAGTATACCGTTTTATTGAAATTAGAAAACCCTATAAAATAGTTAAAATACACACCTAATATTCATAATAATTATTATTTGATTTTAATGTATGAATATAATTTATTAAGTATTTAAAATTTTAATTTCAATATTATGTTATTATAGATTTTGTTATTGATTTTTATTTCATAATTACATTTTTTACATATTATACGATATTTAACAATGAAACAGAATTTAATTTAACGTAAACGTTCCTTTTTTGACGTAATCATTTAAAGTGAAGGTAAAGTTTGACTTGAAATAACAAAGTGGCATAGATATAAATGAACTATTAAATTTGAATAATTCACATTAAAGAACGAACTTGAAAAAGATATTTATATAAAAAAAATTATTCACAAACTGTTAAAGATTTAGATTTTTAGAACTCGCTATCTAAGAGCGAAGAGTTATTTTGCTACAGTGAAAAAATGTAGTCAAAAATAGTTATACAAAATATTCATTTCGCATACGATTGTTGACTTCCATATTGTAAAAACTACGTTAACTTCAACAAAGTATCGCCCAAGTATATTATGTTTATGTAGATATTCGACAAAACTTTCAATTCCGATAATGAAAAATTAAAAAAAAAATCTCGATTAATGAATTTGATTATTACATATGATTTTGGCAATTCAAATTCGTTCCATGGACGTTAAGCCCTTCAGGGAGCGGAGGAGTGGACTGATCTCATTGAGTCTTCCAGACTTGAGGCTGGTTGCTGAAATACTCACTGAACATTGCCCCTCCTCGGTCCACCCAAAAAGAATGAGCAAGATGGAAAGTTCACTATGTCATCTCTGCTTGGAATGAGGAGGCCGAGCATCAACTGCGCAAGTTGAAGATCGTATCCCAATTAAGGCTGGGGTACCTCTGGACGGGTTTAAGACCTTTCAAATATCCTGCGACTTCCAGCAGACGTAGATTGCTCAGGGGCTTAGAAGTAGTGTCCATATAAGTGAATTGCAAATCACAAAAGATCTGATGTATATATAAATATATGTATATATATATATATTTATCTGTTACTTAAAACTAAAAAAATAATAATCCAATTAAATAAAATTTAATAAGCAATTTGAAACTATATTCAACCAAATAATTTTTGCTACTCCTTTAAAACTGAGTGTACACACATAATATGCGTGAGACATAAATACATACATACATACAACTATGACATAAGTATATAGATACTCATTTTCTCAATACTGTTCAAATTTATTATGATCGATGACCATTGGTCGATTGAAAAAACAAAAAAAACATGCATACCAATGATAATCTAATGATTACCATAAACCACATCTTATTTACATACATACATGCGAATTTTTTATAATATTGCATAATATTGAATTAAATTACATACATAAATTAAACACAAATCTTAACGTACATATTATATAGAAAATCGAATTATTTCAATTGTTATAATAATAAAATTTACAAAAAATTATGAAATAGAATTGTTAAAAATAGAAAATAATAGAAAAAATTGTAATTTGAAATATTTTCACACTCGTTAAGTTATTTTCCTTGTTTAGTTGATTATCAAATATAGGAAAATTGATATAAATTTTCTTTTCAACAACAGCAATATTCATTTAAGGATATACATACATACATACATATATGAAAATAAAAAATTCAATTATGCTGCAAATTCCACATTATCATTATGTATGATGTTCCAACAATATTGTAGAGTTAACAGAGGGTGTAATTAACAGAATTTTATACATTTTTTTGTTTAACATTGCATTCGTGAATATGAAGAGGAGAAAAAGTATTCTCATTTGTATTATACCTGAATGAATATTGTTATATTGTTGTTATTATGAACTATTTTACCTCATTAAATTATGGAATGACAAAATGTTTCACAAGATTTATTTAACACCTATTGAATACTCTATAAAATACTCAAAACATATAAATTTATATACCGAATAAATATTGAGAGAAAAGAAAAACAATTTAAAAATTAACAAAGAAGAATAAAATTTCAAAATTAATGAGTTTTTCCGTTTAAAAAGAAAAGTTAATATTTGATGCATTTCATTTTTCCTTTTACAAAAAAAAAGAAAATTTTCATCTATTATTTCGAAATGCTTTAATGCGGAACTAACGATGAATGCGGTTTGAGGGATCATTAATAATTTTTCTATATATACATTTTTATTAAACCTTCTTTTTTTCTTTGTCTCTTGTCTGTCACGATTCATGCGAACATCTTGTTAAACTTTTATAATTACAAATCTCTTATAAAATTTCAAATATTTTTTTATTTGTTTTAAATTTATTAGACTGCACCTTTCGTATAAACATAAATATTTATAAGAAACAAGTAGATAATTATGTGTGAAGTGATTTTAAGATAATTTGTAAGTATGAAGTTGATTTATGATAGGGTAATTTTTATATAGATGTACGAATTTAGGAATATTTAAGAGAAAACGCGTAAAATCAACATATTTCTGGATTTTTGTTTTACATTTTTGTCATTATTATTTAATTATGCTTACATACACATATAAATTATCTACAAAATATATAGATTCAATTATTATTATTTATAGTCCATAGAATGTATTTTTCACACACATAAATAAATTTTAAGATATTTACATTTCATTGTTAATGACATTTTCCAAAAAATTATATAAGATTGCGGATATTTTAATAACATTTCTAACTTAATTTAGTTACATAAGATTAAGGCATTTGTTTTGCCTTATAATATGAATGTATAACTGTTATACAAAACATAATTTTTATTTTAAACATGTGTATGTTAAAAATAAAAATTGTATCTTGAGAGTCTTTTGTAAATCTTATTAAATTTTCAAATTGAAACAATACGGTTTAAATATTCAGACCGTATAGAATTTTAATTCGATTCAAGCGATTTATAGCTAATTTTAATGATAATAAACAACAAATCATTTCACCTAAAGATGGAAGGTATAGAAGATATCATAGTGTACGTTCCTTTTGAGCTAATACAATATTTCGGGGAAATAATACTCTTAACTTTTTCTATACATACTTAAAAAAGTCGTCGGCAAGATTGCGATCAGTATTCCACTCATAAATTAGTTAAAAATCATTTTATATATACTTTAACTTAAGATGCTTAAAAAAACCTGGAAAAGTTCATGGCACAATTTCATATAGGAACCATAGCTTTGAGACCAAACTCAGCTCACCAAATCCTTCAAATATGTTAAATATTAAGCGAAATTCAAGTAATACTTACTTTTGTTATGTTGCGATACTTTTGTTTATTAAATTTCGGGAAATCAATCCTATATGACGCCCAAAGACGTCAACCTAAAAGAATCAAATTGTTTTATGAGCAATGTGTTTTATTGAAAAAATATGGGGAAAATTGTATATAGAAAATTTACAGAATAATTTCTATATAGAGGCCATTTAATGTTTATTCCGGACCCGTACAACGCAGGTCACAGCTACTTCTCATATATTAGAAAGAAAATGATGTATCTTTAGCATTAATTATTTGATAAGAAAATTTAAAAATCACTGATTTTAACTGGAAAAATTTTTTATTATTTTAATTAATTTTTTTGTAATTATAATTATTTAATGTTGTCCATCAATGTATATTATGAACTTTTTAAAAAATAACCCATACTTTTGCAATTTTTCAATTTGTATCATTGAAAAAAATCTGCTAGTTTATTTGATTTCAAAATCCAATGAAAAATTCGTGACAAGATAATAAAGATATTTTGGACCATAATATAAAATATCTACAATAGCAGCCACCTATAACATTATGTATAGTGAACTTTCTTTTGAAATTTGTTCAAAAACGTTATTCTTTATATTTTTTACGCATATTGTTGTGTAAAACATTTTCATTTTAATTGATTTCATAAAAATGATAACGCCTTGAATAACGTACATATATTGCACGCATTTACTTATGGTATTACAATTTTCCAAATTAAAACAGGGTCATGTCATAATTTAATCTTATTATAATTACATTTTGATAACTCAAAAAGAGCAATCTCTTTATTTGTTTGTGCTCATTAGGCCTACACCATAAATATATAATTACAAATTTTATATATGTATTTATTTGTTAACTTGATTTCTTGAGGAATATATTAATATATCGGGTGTACTTAGTGGAAAGTATTGTATTTCTCACTTGTACAATCAAAGAAAATAAAAACCATATTGAAATTAATTGATCACGTTCGAAATTTATATTTTTTTTTCATACATGTATAATAGTTTCTTTATTTTCTTAATACCCCCTTTAAATAATAATAATTATGTTACAGAATAAGACAAAAGTTGTCACCTTGATCTGTATTTATTTTAGTGCTTACACATTAATTATTTTGATTCTTTTTATATAAAATGCAACAATAACCAATCATAATTAGAGTATTAAGAAAAACAAAATTACAAATTTAATTCTATACATTTTTTTTATCAAGGTGACAAATTCTGTTTTTATTACATAAGAGCAAAAAGTTGAAATGTTCATTGTAAATAAAGTTGTGTTAAAGACATTAATGAAAGTATTCTTTTCTTAAAATGCTTCATTTTTAATTGAATATCATTTAGTTTTTGTTAAAAAAACAGTAGTATACAGGTCACCGCAATGCAACAGCTCGAAGAACTTAATCATTTTTTTAATATGTTGGAAAAATATTTCGGTTTGATGAATGACACCAAATCTTCAATGACTGGCGATTTTAACCTTAACTCACTAAATAAAATTGACGAACGTGTAAAAAAATGTAAGGACATTATAAACAGCAACAGATTTATTTTATGAAACAGTAACCAACTGACGAGATAGACGACAGATGTGGACTTTGGGCCGTGTAATAATGAATAATGTAAATCAAGATATTAACTCAAATAAACAAAATAATACACATCATTATAAAATGACTTAGAAATATACATACAAATTATAACTTCAACGTTCGTTAAATTGCAAATTAAAGTTCCTTGACCCTTACAACATAAATATGTGGACAATTCGATTTTATACATTTACTTTAAAGTGGTCTTTTATATTATATGCAAATTAAAAATGCAATTACATAATATAACAAAATTCTTAATTATTAAGGCAACATGGTTCATTAATTCTGAATATCTTAGAATTTTAATTATTGAATATTCTATTGTTCAATATATATATATATATATATATATATACTCTAATTAAAGCCTCTAATTGAGTCATGGAAACATTTTTATTATACATATAAGAATATACAAGAAAAATAACATTAAAATTATGCATGTATGTAAGTGTAATAAAATATTTTCGCAATCAATGAATTTCAAATAAAATTGAAAATAAAATGATTTATTCATAACAAAAATCCAATTTTTCATAAACTTCATTCGAAAAATCAGTTTTAGGTTGTTGTTTTTTTAAAATTTAATAAAAAAATTCACTTTTGTAAAAAAATTAAAATTAATTTTATTCAATCTGTTTTATTCATTCAGAAAAAGGTATAATATCGTCAGAACCTGTCAGAGCTTTACCAATCTGACCATGTATGTGAGATCATAATAATTGTGATTTAAAAATGGAAGTATTTAATAAGTATTTATGGAAATAAATTTTTATAAAAATTATTTTGAAAATTTTCTTTATTGTTGTTACAAAATACGACCAATTGAATTGCTTCAAGTATCTTTGGATGATCAGCTGAATAAATACTTTAAATCTTATCATCTTTCAAGATTAATAATGAATTTGCATTAAAACTAAATGAACATTACTGGAATCCGTGTGCTAACAAATTTGTTGTTTATTTTAGTAATTTTGAAACACGATAAACTTTTTGAAAAGTACAAAGTAGTCAAAATATTTTCACTTTTTAGCACTTTTCCAAAAAAAAACCTGAAAAAAATGCTTATTAGTTTCCCTCTGTCCGTTCGTCCGTTCGTCGATTCATAGCAAAAATTTATTTCCGTAGAAAATTTTTGCCTATCTCCCCTTCTAAAAGTTAGAGTCCATAAAAGACCTAAAAATGCCATTTTGTGGCTAACCATAAACACTTATCAAATTTTGTAAACACCGAAAAATAGAAGTTGATTTCCGCGGTACTGCATAATTAAATAAAAAAAAAGACAAAAAAGCTCCTAAATTTTACTTTTTTTTTAGACTCTAAGTTGTACGAATCTAAGATTTTAACAGCTTTCAAATGTTAATGAATAGTTTATTTCGATAGAAAATTTTTTCATCCCTTCTCAAGTTATCACCTCCCGAAATGTGTACTACATGATTTTTCAGCACATTTTATTTCCGAAACTGTACGCTTTTCCAAATTTCTATAAATGAAAAACGTTAACGGCATGGCACATCAAAAAATATAACTATTTTTCTTTAACTCACACAATTAACCCTTCCATTATATTTACGTCTCTTTCAATTTTTTTTTGCCTCGCCCCAAATGTATGCAATCTTTAAAATATTTTGGTTTATGACCAAAAAGTAATTTCAATAAGGCAATAGATTGTTCTTAAAAGCAGCATTTTCAATTGTTAAAAGGAAACGTGCTACTTTACAAATCATTGGTTTTACTCAACTTTAATTTGAAAAAATACACTATGATTCGCCAATAACGTTTAATTGTACAAATTTTCATTCACTTCAGTTTTAAAGCGTATGTATCTATCTATCATATAATCTATCATGTATCTATTTCAGAATTCAGCATATACATATTTATATTTTTGTAAATATGTGCATAATTCAAAATAACTTAAATGTATAAGTAAGTTTTCAAATTTAAAAATAAATTCAAACCATCTTGAACCAATTTTTGACATAATTTTTTTTACAATAGGGGTGGTTCTTGAAATTAGATATTAATGCATTTGTAGATATTTAGAAGTGATTTAATTCATTAGAAATTTATTGTTTTCCTAATTCAATTTCCTCTTCCAGTTATTCTTCTTAGTATTATATAAGATGCTATACTTATGAAAATACAGTTTTTAATATACAATTGGAACGCAAAATTATGCCGTTAAAAATTTTTTCGAAAAAAATTAATTTGAAAATGATTGCAAAAGTTTCGGATACAGTTTAGAGTGTCATAAGTTTCACTCTTATGCGTTACTAGAAATATGTAACCGTTGTCGATAAAATTACTTATTACATTATTGGGATTAAAGTATTCATGGATTACAATTCATGGATACTTTAATCCCAATACGAAATTTCATTAGTAAAAAAGTAAGTAGTTTTTAATTAATTCTATTTTAACCATTTTTCAACATTTATGCAATGAGTGACCAAAAATTTAACATTTACATATATAATTCAAATATTGTTAAAGTCTCTTAAGAAAGCACGCGTACAAATTTTATTTTGAATAAAATTTTAAATACTATACTTTTTTTAGGTGCGCGACGATTTCAAATACATATAATGAAAATTTTTCAAATTTTTCAAACTTTAATCACTATATTAAATAATGTTTTCATCACATAAGTGAGCAACGTAATTAAAAAAAAGCTTGAAACGATTTCAGGTACCTTACTTATTTATAAAATTTTAATTAAAAGCTTCTTTCATTACAATAACAAGCAATAGTACTAGATAATCTGGAACAAGCTTTAATATTTGGTCAGTAAGAAGAAATTTTTAAACAATTTTTAAAATAATTTGTACTGAATTATTTGTAAACCGCGCATCTAATGAATTATTTATGGTCATTTATAGAGTAAGTAATGTAGATATACCTTATATGTTACTATAAAAAAATATTCCCGCGCACTAAGTCAAAAATTCTTGCTAAATTACGCTTTTTCCATATCAGATTTTCAAATTCAGTTGACAAACTATGCAAAAATTTTCTATATTTGAATAATAAAATGAAATAATTTGTTTATATGTGTGTACAATTACCTTTAAAGATGCACATTGAATCTTTACCGATATAATAAGAAATATGTTCGGATTGTGGCGCTTCATTTATTTTAAAATGTATTTTAAGTGTTGAACAAAATATGATGAAGACTGTGAAATTTTCTTCATTAAGACAGAATGCTTAAGATTTATTCAATTTTAGCGGCAATTTAATCCCCATCTAGTCTTAGAGTTAATGACATGACAGAATTTATTAAAGTTTTAAATTTAATTTTCATGTTTATTTTAATTTTATTTCAGATTGTATGAAAATTGGGACTTATTATTAAAAACAATTCTGAAGGCGAACGCAAGTGAACATTTCCACATTATTGAATAAAATTGTAGTCAAAAACGTAAGTCAAACAACACATAATTTTGAATACAAAATAACCTTTCCGCCTTTTTTCGATAACTTTGAATTTTTGTGATCAGCCAATCAGTTTTACGCAAAAATTAGTGCAAATATAAAGTTTCTAGGTATAAAGTTATTTGGAACAAGTAAAAAATTAGTCCGGACTTTATACCTTGTTTTACATAAAGGAATAATGATAACTATCAAAATAAAAATATTTTATAAAAAACAATTTACATCAGTTATACTATTAAAATTCATCCTTAAGTAAATAAATAAATTGCTAATTAAAGATAATTAAAATATTAAATATCACACAAAACAATAAAATTAAACCTTAACTTAATGTTAATAAATATCTTAAGAAATTAAAATTTTACAATTCTTCAAAATGCGTTGCTACAATAACAGTTTTTTTGTCATAATAACAATTTTCTTGTTATTAAAACAACTTTTTTTATTTTATAGGTAATAAGAATTTTTCAATCAATCAATTTTTCAATACGCAAAAAGCGTGTATATTACATTTGCATTTTATATACCCTACATTTTAATGTATATACTAACTTATGTATGGTAAAACTTATGTATTATAACCACCGAATGAAGTCGTCTAAATCACGAACATGCATAGATTCTTGCTAAGACATGTCCTTCCGTCCATTCGCACGACAACTAAAAATAAAAAGTATACAAACTGTTCGAAATGCTTTCCTTTCTGCCACCTGCTATATATTTTAATTAGACCAATTCAAACAGCGGGTTTGGGTCACTACGATACAACCCTAATTGTTTCAAATATTTGTAATAATAATAAATCTAGTTGCGTTTGGCAGTCATATATCAAATTGTACATTCTAGAAGTTTTAGTGATAGGGCTTAACTGCTTGGAACAGCTATCACTTTAATCAATCAACTGTTCAAAAATTTTCTTCAGCTAGCGAAACCTATTAAGGTTTCAATTTTATAATAAGATTGTTATGGCATGGTATAGGGTATAATTCAATCGGCTAAGGTCGACTAAAACATTTTTACTTGTTTATAAATACTGTAAGCGTAAGGTGCAATAAAAACCATTAATAGGCAGTAAAAAAATTAATCACGCATATTTTTTTACTTTATTATGGTTAAGTGACTGAAATTGAAAAAAACGCCGATTTAAAAAAAATCATTAATGATTTATCAATATGAAAACCTACATTTATTTTTGAATAAATTAAGATTTTTAATTAAACACTATATTATATATTTTTCTAAAATGAATTACTTGAACTTCATAATTATTTTTAGACTATAAAAATTTTGTAGAACAAGGACCATCATGTACATAAGTTTGTAATCAAAAGTTTCAAAAGTAGATTTTAAATGTAGTTTTTAAGAAAAATTATTGAAAATTTTCTGTATGAAATATATTTTAAGTGTCATGATCATTATAAAAAACTTAATAAGAATTTAAATATTTAACAACACTATTATTTCAAATAAATTTGTAAAATACAATAAATTACTAAAATACTTGTTTGACCAAGTATGTCCATATATTTAAAATTTGCTTCACGGAAAGAATGTTATCTTTAAATAAAATTAATTTTTCAAATTCTATTAATTCGAGCGAAAGGAGAGTCCTTTTTTTATCCGAATTTTAATTTAAAATCAAATAAATTTTATAAAATTTTGTAATTAAAAATTGATCAATTGGAATTCAATTGGTTTCATCATTTACGTATATTTTCAAAATTCCACACAACACGTTTTTACATACATTTGTTAAATAATTTCTGGATTTTATTCAAATGCCCTACAAAATTATTCCGACACAAATTCATATTCATATATACATGATTCAAAAGCAAATTTTATAATTTTGCAAATTTATAATACAAATAGGTGGAATAAAACAAATTTGAAAAAAGACAAATTAACTTACAATTGAATATTATAAATTAAAATTTCAAAAATATTAAAACTCATAAAAACAAAATAAAATTATAGAAGATACAAGAAAATTTTACACGCAATGAACTGCACAGTAACATATTTTAATATATGACTTCATCTAATTTTTATTATACATCTTCATTTAAAAACCAACTTCTTCTGAGTCACACGGTTAACAAATATAATTTCTAAATATGGGTGATTTATTAGTGTTTTTAAATTTAAAGGAAAATTGCGAATTTACATGTAACTTTTTTTAAATATAACCCAGACTAAATATTACCCTACGGTTTTAATTAAATTACATTTGTTTTAGCACCATTCAAAGGAATGCAATTTAATAAAATCAATTTTTTAACATACTTCGGGCAGAATGTTCACAATCCAGCACGTTAAACAATATGTTATTCAAATCTAAAGCTTTTGTGTTGTGGACTACATAAATTTTGAAATAATTGAATGACATAGCGGCAACGACAGTAAAATTGGGATCAGCATCGCCTTTAAAGTAGATTGTACCTATTATATAACCTGCCCGTAAACCACAGAAAATATTTTTTCGAATTGTATAGGTAAAATCATTGATTGTTCTATTCTATGTAAAACAGTTACAGAACTCCAAAGGCTCTATAATCCTAAATTTTAATGTTGAGTTTAAGTTTAAATTTTTTGTTCAAATAAAATAAATTAAACATAATATGTACGTACACTGTAAAATACTGTTACGTAAAAATTTGTAAAAAAAAGATGTACAACAACCTGTTATTTAATAGAATCAATTTGAAAAATATTAATTTATCACACTTTAAAGAAAAACAGGTGTATAATTATTTATTTGCACACTTTTCTTCTTCGGTTATCTAACGCATCATTGACTAAAAAGTTCATTGAGAAGTAACATGTAAAAGCACCCATACACAATATTAAGTGCACGCATGAAAATTGTTCAAAAAAAATAAAAATATGTCAACAATCAGATACATACTATTACAACAAACGATTTTGTATTATAAAGGTGTTCAAACCAGCTGAATTTATAAAATAAAATGAAATAAACGGAATTATTTATTAGTTAAAACTTCGACATTTCCTATTCATTTCCTTCTCAATTTATTTTATTGTTTTTTTTTTCATAATTGAATAATAAAATTTTTGAGACTGAGATGAAAAAGAAACAAAATGAGAAATGGATCAATTAACACTAACAAAACTACTCTATATTCAGTATTATTTTACAATGAATGTAAAAACCAAAAAAAAAGAAATTTCTAGAGAGAAAGTTTCAAATTAAAGAAATTATTTAACTATTCAACTATTGGTATAAAAATATGTTAGAAATGTAAGTTTACATATATTAAATTTAATATTAAAAATTATTGATTTCATTAAATCAATTGTCTTAACTCTAAATATGTATATTTAACATTCATTTAGAGGAAGTTGTAATTACGTTAACAGGAAATTGGACATTGAAGCCTGAAGAAGTTAAAACTATACAACTTGGAAATATTGTACGTACATTACGTATAATTGAATTTATTTGATGCGATATTGTAAAGATTTTGTAAAAAAAACTAAATGAATTTAAAATAAATTTTCATTTTCGATCAATAAAGTTGCAAACACTTGACATTTAACTATATATTAAATTATGTCTTTACATACATTTATAAAAAAATTTTAAAACATCCTGTAGTACAACTTCATTTAAATATTTGCATATACACATATTTTGAAACAATAGCAAGAAAAGTGAAAAATTACTGAGAAATAATTTCTATGTACATATATCATTCAATATTTGCAAGGAAATTCTGATATTATGTTAAATTAAATGTAAATTTAAAAACTTTTATATTATTTTAACATTTTATAGCCCGAAACGAACTACTTCTATATAAATCGTCAATTTCCGGCTACCGACATTTTTTGATAAATATATTGAAAAAAGGAACAGCTGCAAACGGATGAATTTTATGAATATAAATATTTTTTCATCCGTAAATTATACAGGGAGTTACACTAATAGTTGTAAATATTTTCAGGGACAATCCATTCTTTAAACGATATTTGCACATGTGCTCGTTTTCTAGCTACAGTCTATGTTATAAAATTGGTGCCATACTTTTCTTCCATACAAACAAATATCAATAATTTTGTAGCTATATCAAGCAGTTCATTTACATGTAATACTATAAATGTTCATCAAAAATCTTCATCTAAAAACGAAAACTAATTATTATTATTTAAGATTTCTAGTTTGTAAAATTTGTACTATTACCAGAAATCATTCATATGTACATATATGTAATTTGCGTGCAAATTACGTACATATACATATATTTATATGTATGGTTAAAACTTAATTTTCAAAATAACCCAATTGAATAGTTTTGTAATAAAAACTGTTATAATTTATTCATTCACCTATAATGTTCTTTTAGATCCTTATTCATATCCTGATTCAATTAATGATTTAGTTTATTTCTATTTTCAAAAGATTTATATTTTAATTATACATAAATAAAATTAGAATTACAAATTTATTTCTTTAAACATTATTCTCTATGTACACTTAATATAAAAGAACTAATTGTCAATATATTTAAAGTAATTGAAAATTTATGATTACTTGAGTATATAAAGTTGTTCCATTTCCACTTTTTCACTTACACACATTATTTTCTATATTTTAATAGCAATAAACTACTTAGGAAAAGCTATAAAACAAAATAATTCACTTTTTAACTTTGAAATTATGTAAATACAGAATATAAATACACATATACGTACATACTTCAGTATACTTAAATTAAAATCTGTAATCAAGCATAATGATTGTTCCACAACCTGTTGCAACATATTTAAATTTTATGTCGTGACAATTTCATTTGTATTTTGAATTTTATTATGAAAATATTTACTGTACAACATACCATAAACATATGTGAACAAAAAAAGTGTCACTGTCAAAGCTCACGAATTGCTTTTTCTTCTCGTTAATCCAAATAAAGTACTTAAAAATGTATTTATTTTCTGTATATAATTCAGTACTTGTAAGTT